AAATTAGTAGTGGCGGAACATGTAAATAAGAATCGCCGCACATCCTAGAGTGTCCAACAATATGTATTTTCTGGATTGTTTGCAGAAATTTTGGCGCCGGAATCGAAAAAGAAGTTGGATCATGTTTAGAAAAAGAACGTGACTTTTTTCAAACTTCTTAGCAACGCACTAGTAATCGAGGTCACGCCGTATTTACTTGAGTGCAATAGCTCACAAAACACTTGTCCATTAAGCATGGCGCGACACTGGGGACTTGGACAACCAACTGTAGAGTAAAATAGCTCTGTGAGTATAAAAGTTGGGATAAAACGCGTGTCAAAAAGACGTGTCAAACTTAACGGTATGCTCTATACAACAGGTTGAAAAACAAAGCTCCCAGTAGATTAGGTCATAAATTGGAGTTTCCAAATCATCATTTGAAATTTTGCTGTCAAGACTGAAGTAATGCAATGGCACCGCGTTTGTTTCATTCATTCCCTCGGCAACTATAGGCTAGTCCACTAACCCAGAGTAGGGGGTGTGTGTTATGGCTCTTTGTGTAGTCTGGAATTGTTTAAAGCATAATCCTCTCCCCACAATCTCAAAAACAGTTATCTCATTTTGCTAAAGTGGTTGAGTACTATACTCACACCTGTTAGTGTTTGGTCAAGATGTATACACGCCTGTGACTTACCTGCAGCAAACATGGACAGGCCCAAACACGTGACTCCTCACAGGTGCACTTGACCTGACCTGTGTTTGTTGACAGAACATGAGCCGCTGTGCGCACGCTTCCAACTGCCACAAAAATAACACCGTTCCTTCCCAGGTTCCACGGGAAAATAATCAAGAACACATAACGATCCAAGTATCCAGCCGTAATATCCATTTGTAGCGTACCAGTGGGTAGAGTCTAGACCCTACCTCTGAACCAAGAGGTCGTGAGTTTGAATCCCGTTTGTCGCTCACCCGACAGCATGTACACTGGAAAGGGTCGCAGTCCGAAGGACGGGACGTTACGCCCCGGTGCACTTGTGCTTGTCGAATAGAGTTATAGGAATTTTCCAGGCACAACTAACCTGTGATACTGTATGAACACGACGTCTGTCTTCTCTGTCACGAAAAATGGATATGCATGTATGCCTTACTATTCATTATTTGAGTTCATTTCAGATGAACTGGTACTAGGTCACTTTCCCTATAATGACTGCCGAGTCTCTCCCGTCCTAATAATATTTGCGAAGAAGACGAAGGGGCTATCTTACATGGTTGGGTATCAGACTACGTAACAATGTCTCCCTTCTTCTTGAGGACGGCCTTGACTTCCTTGTCCTTGGTCCTGACAAGCCTTCCTAAGATTCAGTTCTCTTTCCCCCAGGTCTAAGACGCCGGGTAACTTCCAGCACATCCCCAAGTGGTCGGACTTACACCCGACCATTCCTCAGCTGTACGTGCCCGAGTGGAAAACCGACATGAAGAACAGAGAAGTCATTCTGAGGGTCAGTTGTACCTCCCTTCTATCTCGATATAGTTGACGGTTTAAGGCACTTGTTCCAATGACATTGCATTAGCAAGTAATATAAAATATGACGCATGATGAGAAAACCATATTGAATACTATATATATGAAGTATCCAAGTTGAAGTATCCCAGGTCTAACCAATTGGATAGAATATTGTAACTCTAGAATACTGTTTTCTTTTAAAAATAATATGAGTAAAAGTTTTTTGTGTTGTTTGCATCGGAAAGAACGTAATCCCTGAGCAATACTTATTGAATCCTGTTGCAGGAGTGCAAGCAGGCAGGGCTATACTACGGGCCGCATGACGAGAGCCTGTTCCTGTGCAAGCGGGAGCGGCTGAACCACGGGGAGGACCGGCGGCGCGTGGAGACCAACTACGCGCACAAGCCCGACCGCAAGACCCTGCTCAACCCGCCGCGCTGGTCGCACCTCTACCGGCACCGCAGCACACTCATGATGCACAGCGACCCTGGGGAATAGGGAGGCTCACTTCTCGTTATGGGTCGCTGTAATACGGTTGTGATACGCAGCGACCCCGGGGAATATGGGTGGGGCTTACCTCTCCGCTAGGCGGTCCCCGCATCACGGTCATGCGTGGTGCAAAGCGGCCCTGCCTCGGGGGACTAGGGGTGCATGAAGTAGCGTTTCGGACGGTTGGAAGTTCCAAAATTTCGCTCAACTCAGGCCTTGAAAATGAGAGGGACAGACAAAGATTTAAAGCTGCAGACAGCCCTGGTCCTTTTGCTTGAGGACAAAAAGGCTGGTGCTAACTTAGGCCACAGCAAGTAATTTTTATGGATGGCATCACCACGCGCATTAATTTTCGCCTGATTTGGAAAAATTGTTGCCCCCTGACAGTGGTCAACCTACCGAAAATGGGCAAAGATGTTTGTTGCCATGCCGGAACGTGGATGGTAGATAAGTATGAAGAGAGGAGACAAGACAAGGCTCTGATTTAATGTTTTGTCTTTTACTTTGATGCAGTGATGTATTTCATTCCTCTTATATGTGATGGTGGCTGTGTACATGTGGTGTTCCCACTGAATTAAGACCATTTGTACAATGTTTGAAAACTTCCATTTTAACTAAAGTTATTTCAGTGAGAAATGGATGTTGTAATAGTTGGCAGTAAACTTAGCACAATAAACGTATCATTTCTTTTTAATCAAGGTTTATGATGTCAAAATCTGAAAATGCAGGAATGTTGTTTTTTGCCCGTCTTGTTTTTTTCGCCCTTTCATATTAGATTGGAGTCTGCGGAGGATGTCATCCATAAAATTGACTTGCTGTGGCCTTATAGTCTGCCCTACGTACGTACAGTGTTTTGAGGGATAACGTTAGATATATCAGGCAGGCTACTAGTATGTAGTCTCAATTTAGAATAAGGTAAAGCCATGCACAAATCACGTGTACGAACAAAATGAATCAGCACTGTTTATGACGCCTGCAAGGAACTTGTTGTAGTTAATGCTTACAATGGAGGGGAACAAGCTGCTATTGTATATTCATAATTCCCCACGTAGTTTGTCCAGAGTTCTGATTAGAAAGCACTGGTATTCTATTGTGACTGTTGTAGAGTTGAGTTGATACTGTTTGCAGTTTTTGTATGTGAAAAGTTAAAGCACTTTCCTTTTGTATAAACAGTACTGAAATTCCAGACTGTAGTTTTTTGCCGCCATCTTTGCTCGTCATATCGCTTATATTGCTTCTCACGAAATGCCCGGATGTTACGTATGTCACCTTGCCGCTATGGGTATATCTGGTCATGTTTAATCCAATGTATTGTCTAATCTAAAACTACGTGAAGGAAACTAGTGCTGCTAGCGCTGTTATCTTCAGCTGAATCTACCCGTCCGAAGTACGGACGCGATCACATCCGTAAGGTGGCACCCTCTTAGTCGTACTAAACACAGTGGTTACCACCTTGATATTGTGGGCTCATCGTCATTACATATCTAAGCCTATGTGCTGTTTGAAACTAGCTCATGTACTAATTTGTGATGTCAAAACTAGTCCTATGGGACGAAAAAGACAACGTCAGCGACAATTACGCTAATGCAGATTATTTTATTCTGGGAATTTCTGACAATCCACATTGTCATTCCGGGCAGACCGTCTGCTTCCCAAGTGACCACAATTAAGTCAGCGACAATTAATATAAGCTGATGCAGATTATTTTATTTTGGGACTTTAATTTCTGACAATCCACATTTTCATTCCGGGCAGACCGTCTGCTTCTCAAGTGATCACTAATTTACCTGAAAAAAGAAAGACAGTTGGATAAAAAAAATGAGAACATCAAATTCTCCTTGTACATATACTCTCTTAATGGCCAATATTGTTTTTTAACTTGAACTTGGTATTGTCAACAATTGTCCGGCTTTTGCATGGTTTCGGGGAGTTACAAAAGATATTGAATGCCAATATTATAAAATTCCTAGCCTAGAGGTAGTTGTAGTTTTGCATCTAGCACTACCGTTCACAGGTCCTCTACCTCAACTACATGTAGCTGGCAGAGATCATGCCGAAGTCGATCAGATTGCAAATCCAAAAGTCACAGATCCTGTACCTTGAACTGGCTGAGTGTGATATAACTTATCCGTAGGTTGGTATAGTTGCAGATTACAAAGGTAAGACCACATGTCCTCTACTATGAACATTCTTGACTAGGAGATTATATAGGTGGATCTAGTTCCAGATTACCAAGACAGCATCAGAAATCCCATAACGTGATCTAGCTGACGAGAAGGTGATCCCACATGCTGATCTACATCTAGTGAGCGACCACAATAGCGAGATCACAGACCCCATACCTTCCTCTAGCTGTAGGTGAAGCTGAGGCACGCCGGGCAGCATTTCCCCGCGATGTTTACGGGGTCGGGGCAGCTCGGAGGCGCGCAGTCCATGCTCGCTACTGCCGGGTCGTCCCCAGCCGCAAAGCAGCGGACGAGCTTACAGGGAGTCGGCTGTAGGGTTCAAGTAGTAATGAGTTAAAGTTTTGCACCGTACCTGAAAAATAGCTAATGTAGAGGCCAGGTAATCAATTTAGATGCATTTGCGAATATTGTTAACAAAATAAAAATAAAACTCCACATCGGTATTTGTCCTCACCCACCCGGAAGTTTGATACCGGTGATTGGCCAATGTCCCAGGAAATGAATCAGAAGTTTTTTAAAAAAGGTAATAAAAATGAATGCCGCACACACACACATGTGCCCATGACATTATAACCAACCAGACAACGCTACAAAAGTTCACGCTATCAACTTCAACACTCTGCTGTGGTTAAGTCAGAATTTGTTTTCCCTCATAACAATTTTCACAGACGAACGTCCTTCAGGCGCCTCACCTTGTAATCGACTCCCACGGGGATGAGGATGGTACTCGTACCATCCCTGTACAAACAGCCGTCAGGAGCTGAAATGAGGAACGAGAAGAAGAACTTTATTGCACAACAATTGTGCATGGTACAATGAATGGCAACGACTATTGAACATAGTACCAAAAAATGGTATAGAATGAAAGTTAACATCCTAACTACTAAACATAAAGAGGTAATATATAAACAAGTAGGGCTAATCATGAGTTTCGGCATTTTGACGTCATTAAGTTCATCACCAAGATGATTTTTAGTCTGAGAGGTCCCAAATTCCAGGGCATCTTCTTTTGCTCCAAATCAATCCATGTTCCAAACAACTGTGACAATCTTTACGCGCCTTCTTATCTTGATAACCACCACAACATCACTTGTCATCCTAAGACAACTGCAGCTCCATATGACACTTGACTTACGTCCAACGTCTCTTGAAACAAAAAAAAACAAACAAAAAAAACAGAAGAACCTTAAGTTATCTTGCACTCACACACGTTGTTGACACTGTATTACGTTGTTGTCACGTTGATAGAGATCATCACCATAACTTTTACATAAAAGATCATAAAACAAAGATGAAAGCAGGCTAACCGTCGCTGTCACACACTGGACAGCACTGCCCTGCGATCGATATGTAGTTGCCGTCGTCACAGGGCAGAGGCATGCAGGCCATCGCCACACACAGCGGCTCCGCTCCGGCGGCCGGACAGGAGCACGTCACGCAGGGACTCTCCTGTATAGTATAGAGGGGTCGACAAGTGAAGCATCACTCATATATGCGTCGGCGTAGAACGTAAGGCTGTTGTCACGGGCAAAAGGTGGTTAGACCATCACTTATACCAACAAGGGAAATATTTAAAGTTGCTGCTAGTTACAATCTTTTATCAGCTGTATGTAATGATTTCTAACCCCTGAAGAGACAGCTTTGGCAGCTTTGGAACCACGGTTGTCAAAAAAACATGGCACAGGGGGCCCCTACAACAGAATCGAACAGCACATGCACCAGGAGTTAGATATTAAGCATCCTGTCTAAATCCCGCTTCGTTTCTAGTAGCCCTTCCACATTGAACACGTCCTTAGAATTCAGACTGAGCGCTGACAGTCAGTCCTAGCTCTCACCTCGTATTCTTGGCCCGGCAGGATGAGGCCGTCATCGTGTTCACAGCCGATGCAAACAGGGCAGCACTGTCCCGGGGGCGTCACGACGTTGGTGCAGGGCGGGGCTGCGCAGTCCACGACGGCACACACCACCGTTGCTCCAGCGTAAGGGCAGGGACAAAACGTGCAGGGATCCGGCTGAAGAGGGAAGTCATCATCAGGCTTAGATCTCGACCGGTAAATGAACAATGATAGAGGTAAAACATGCAAACCCCACCGTTTGCATGATTCACGAGAAGCCATTGCCACTGCAATGTTTTTTCTTGACTACAAGCTTTGTCAATTAACAGAAGTGTCAGTCATGGCCAAAAGTCTCACCTTATAGTTGGACCCCACAGGGATGAGGACACCGTCATACAGACAGCCGGGGCAGACCGGGCAGCACTGCCCCACGATATGTACAGGGTTAGGGCAGTACAAAGCTATGCAGGCCTGCGCTACGCACACAGGCTCCGCTCCGGCGGCTGGACAGGTGCACGTCGTGCAGTCATCCGGCTGGAGAAGGGATATGAATGAGAAGTCATGAATGGAACACTTTCATTACACGTTCATGTGTGCTGGTCCTCGTCACAGCTACTGTATATATAAACCCCACAGTCACAAAGCAGGAAAATTTTATCGACCGAGAATCACGAGCTAGCCTGCGAGCTCAAAATTTGTGATGCCGACTTAACACACATAGCTAACAGACGTACGGACAAGAATTTGTCACCCCTCGATCATGAGTTTTTTGACAGACAGGTGCCAGTCCTAATTACCTTGTACTCTTCCCCCACAGGAATGATGGCTCCATTGTACAGACAGCCGACCGGAACTGAAATGGCGTCAATATATTGAACACCAAATATGGTTTCATATGCAAGCCAAAACTCAACTACAATGTATATTGTACTCCTCCCAACTACGGCTGGCTTGATGAGAACATTGTTCATTAAAGAAACATCAGAGGGAAAATGCTCTCGCAACTAAGTACTATTTATCTACTGAACTAAAAAAGAATTAATCCCATCACCATTACCACAACTCTTCTGAGTTCGTCTGACAACCACCATGTCACGAAATCTTCAGTTGTCTAACAGCTGCAGTTAAGTTACAGAGGAAGCTGCATTGACCTCAAATTTGTATGAAATGTTTCCTAGTTAAACATGAGATGTGGAACCTTCTTGAATCATCTTATAATGCTCTTGTAAGAGAACAAATAGGACCCCACCTCCCCAGTTGTTCTTTAACTCCTCAGCGATCCTTTCCGTGGCTTGAATGGACTCTACTACTCCTTGCTGCATAATTTCCCTATGACCTATTTTCCAAACTTACCGTTAGTAGCGTTACCATCATCAGCACATACAGGGCAACACCTTGTCGCGATGTCCACGGGGTTCTGGCAGGGCGGATTCCTCAGTGGACAACCCACAGCCCTGCATGAAAGACCCTCTTCTGAACAATTGCACTCCCCGCACATTTCAGGCCGCATCTGTAAGATGAAGATAATGATTGTAAAGTTAAAACTCATGCACGGTTATCGTACCCTCGTCTCTCACGTAGCCCATCACGTCTTCCGGTGGGGAGTGAGTAGCATGGCCAAAGACAACTTTTCACGGTAAGGAAACGCACTGCATTTCCTTCCCAATTCATGCACCCCACTTCAGAATGGTTCATGCACAATAGTCTGGGCCTTTGATACCAAGAATTCGAAGGTTCAGTGGGCCCTATTGAACCTCACTGGCCTTATCAAGGAAGTTCTGACCTGTATCTGCAGGTTTCCAGTCCCACATTATAGATGAGACAGACACCTGTTAGCTTTGGAACTTACATCAAAAGAGGACCCAAGGGGCAAGAAGGCGTCCTTCTCAGCATAATAACAGCCAGGTACACCTGAAATGACATCAGTCAGTTGATCAACGACATGATTCATATTAAAATCAAAACTCTATATTACATAGTACAATAGTTGCATGATAAAACGCCAACAGCAAAACAGGGTGATCAGACATGATAGACTTCATCTCTTACTCATTCAGCTTTGCGACCATTTCCCAGGGCCACAGACAAAAATAGCAGCACTGATGAGGATGTTGTATGTCTTCTGCATGTTTGACATGAGGCCAAATTGGTTATACTGCCTAGTATACCTTGAACCCTCTTCCCTGAATGTTAATTCTATATTTTGCTGTATTGGGTGGCAATTTACCCGATGACTTGCAGAGGTCCGCCAGTATACGGAAGGCGACTCTGCAGGGGTTGTCCATGTTGAACACGCGGTCAGGGCTCCCGGCGATGGTCGCAAGCGCGTTGAGGTCCACCTGGCCCGGGTCTCCAAGACTCACGGCATACATTTGGATTCCTGCGGCCATGGCGGCGGTAGCTGCCGCAGCAACGTTGTCCATTGACTACGAAGATGATATCAAACGATGATTAATTCATGACATCAATGTATTTGACATTTCTGTGTTCCTTATACCAGTCAGTCGTTGGACAAACACCAGTTGAACTTCCTGGGACTCGCTTCTAGAGCTTCTAGACCCAGGAACTGCCTCAGAATCAGACCCAACCCCGAATTACGTCCTTGAGAGAACGTATCAAAAGAAGGGGGGAACCTGAAGCCTTCAACCTTCTTAGAGAGCTACGGGTCACCAGAACCAATCGAGGTCCTGTGCCGAAAAACAGCCATATTAACAAAATATTTTAGCTGCCGAGTCTGATAGAGATGTTTACAGTCCTCATGCATCAGCATCGCGGATGGTTAGCCATACTAGTATTATTAGTTGGCTGACATAGAGATACTAAGTTGAACAGGAGCCATGAAAAAATATGCCAGTATCCTGTCTCCCATATCCTGTTTATTGTATTGTAGCAAATTTTTAAAAAATCAATAAAAGGAGATAGCTAGAAGGGCTGCACTAACAAACTCCACTGAGGATCGGGCTTAACAACTGTGTAAGATACATCGTGGCAGCTTTTACTACTTCATAAAAGGAAACCTAATCTACCGTACAAAAGACTAGGTAGTGTCGGATGGGGGTTTACTGTACAGTTTAGTGCGAGGTGTGCCATAAATTCAATTAAGAATATGTACGATGGTTTTTATTCTGATGCACAATTCTTTCTTTCTTCTTTATTTCTTTATTTCAGGCATAACTCGCCCATATACAACATACATATAGAATACACACACAATTACATCAGTAAAAGAATAATATGACTATATGTACAGGCGGGCCCAGTTATTGCGAAAGAATCTGCTGCGGAATATCACTTCAGATTTAAGAACAGATTGGATAATGTTGTTTAAGGACTTGTATAGACGGGATATGAATGAGTAACATTGTTTACGCCATGTAGCATCAAATGTGTCAATCCTATTGTAGACAAACATTTCACTTGCACTGTACTTGTCTTGTACTCGACTTGTCTGTATGTACAATGTACTATAGAAAAGCAGCGCCCAGTTACCGAGACTACCGCCCTAGTAAAAGAACACAGAAATAGATAAACAAAATCATGTTCCATGACAAAGTTAGTAACTCACATATCCGTCTGTCATGACTATTGCCGCCCGTGGGACATCATCGCGGAAGTTAGACTAAACAAAAAAAGAAACATGTGAATCAACGGTGTAGAAAACCCCTATTGCTTCTATTGTTTTTCTTGTTTACTATAAACGAATGTGCTAAAGATTACAACGTATTGTTTCACATGGTTGCTACATAGGGACAAGAAATAAACGTTTGAAAATGAATAGAAACAACAGTATGAAGAGTTAGCATCGAACCAGTTAACTCCGACCGGCGTGTTGCTGGCCGGGAATATTGCATAAAGCCCTGCGGGAGGAACATTAAACCGTCTATCGGTCCTGTGTCTGTGCCTGAGAGAACTTCAAGTACAATCACACTTACAAGAAGAGTAGGGATCCACCCCGGTGTGATCTGGTCAAAATGCTGGACGAACTTCAATCAATAAACAACAAAGGATCATGCTCCACATTAACAGAGGATGACTGCTTTAATGCTGTAATAAAGCTACTGATACGAATGATTGCAGAAATGTTGGTCGTACCGTATCCTTCATGAAGCGGATAGCCACCCCGGTGCGGGTCAGGCCTCCCTCCCGCATCATCATGTGAATAGGTTGGGCGTCGCGCGGGCCCAAAGGAACTTGGGTCCTCGGCACGCAGTGGTACGGAATAACCCCAACCTATGTCACCATCAATAAGAACGGAATATTACTAGTAGCCATTCCTATCTTCATTAGGTACGTTTAGTTCTCGAGTGCGTGTTTCTGAGTGTATAAGTAGATGTCACAGCATGAGCGCACAATATCTAGAGAACGTTTCATCCATTGCCAACGAAGGTAGATGATTTGAAAGGTGGAATGAGCATGAAGGCCAAAGATGATAAAGGATCAGAGGCTCACCCAAACATCATGAAGGTATCCGCAGCACCTCAAAACGTCGATGGCGAATTGCTTCGCCAGACTGTACCAAGTGCTCGATACGCTCCAGGATTCGTCGATGACGAAAACCACGTCAACATTGCAAACTGTAGTTTCGAAATGTGAAATATCGGTCCATATCTTTGTGATGTACAAGTAAATATATGTAAGGAAATGCTTGAAGCAGATTTCCGACGTGTCTGGTACCCCACCCTGATATCAACCGACTCATCATTGAAAAATGCTTAATCATTCAAGAAGCGACTATAGTACACTAAAATGCATCTACGGCTAGAGGAAAATACCCCTTTAAAATCACAGGACCTACGCGTCGTGGGGCATTTCGTCTTCCTCTGCTGTTAAAGAACCTATCGAACCCAAGAGGCCCACTCCTAGTAGCCGGCCCGGTAGCGGATCGTGGGAAGCGGGCGAAAGCTAAAAAGGCTGACACTCAGGCTTCACTCCTAGTAAGCTAGTATCAGAAACACCCACCAGTTTTCACATGATTGTATTATAAAACAAAAAAAAAGATGTACATTATTTTGTATTTATCAGAATATAACTTGCAATTAGCCATCGATGAAGAATTTGAAATAAACATATCCATCTAATTGATTTATAGTGCTCCCAAGTAGTGTTGAACATTCTTAAAATGTATGTGTTCTACATGCCCTCGGACTGGATACAATGAAAAGTATTATACAAAAGACAACAAAACAAACAAAACGTTTCAAACAAAATGATCATAAGCATAATTTGTAGGTATATTTGATGTGAATATTTTTGTTTGTTCTTTGTTCATTTAGCCCAGCCATGCCCGACTTGGAAATACTAGTATGACCCTGGCATTATTACGGTCTTACTTCGGCCCGGACCGGCGTACAGCCTCGGTTGGTCTTCGCCGATTGCCTCGTGGATGGAGACGACCATCACCAACGTGGTCAGCAGCAGTTTCCACAGCATGTTTGTTGTGTCGAGATCTGTGTAACAAACGGACAGGTTGGCTTGTGCATTGTCGACTGAACCAGATCTCTCGGCACCGAATTCGCCGTAACTCTATTGTAACAGTTTTACATCTTATCAATCAGGCTAGGAGAGATCTCCCCTGAAATCTGCGTAACAACGGATATGATAGATGTATCTAATTCTCCCGTAACATTTGCCACAGTTCTACATGTCCTACATAGGTGAAAGAGGGGAACTCTAGAATCTGACATGCACATTTGTAATTATAAAGTCGTGTCCCAGAAGTGTCGGCAATCATGAATTGATTTCTCAGAATCATGAGTTAACATCTAAAGAGTGATAATTATGGAATGCACAAGACAACTCAAATGTACGGGTTATATTTCTTACCGTTTGGTGAAGATAGAAAAACACCGGTAGAACACTGTTCAGTTTGGTCCAAGCCTCAGTCAGGTCTCGTGGTGATCAGTACAGCTCACGGTCTTCTCACCAGTCCGTACTATACGACTGGCGAAGTAGAACTGTCGGAGTGTCCAGCGCAATCCGTTATGAGCCGAAATCCAGGACGCTTCGCATTGGTCCACATCATCAGTTTCTCCTCTTATCGGTACCTATTATCAGACTACGTCATACTAGAAAACGTGGCCACCTTGTAGCCTACATGGTAGGCCCCAGCTACGGCTAACGTTTGACTTATGCCTTTTTGTTGATTGTATTCTGTTTCCTGAATGCTACCGTGCTCTGTTCATGTTGGGGTAGGAGGTGGCAAAACACATAGTTTTTACCTTGACAAGAGGAGATGCTGTTCGAAAGTGCTGTGAGAAATAAAGCTGTGATTACTTCTAAAATGGCCAAACCAAATCGACAGCCGTAGTTAGGGTCTGGTTAGGGAGGCTAGTCAGCTGGATACACCAGGATGTCTGCGCCGTCACGTAGC